AATATCTTGATCCAAGAATACTGAGAAATTTCATTTATAAGGAGAAGTTGTGTGAAAGCTCAGTTTCTGCTAGTTTCTCTTCTAGTTGGTTTCTTTATAATGAAGCTAAGACATTGATTTTTTTTATAATAAGCCTAAGACAAAGGCAAGGATAATTTTCTGTATTATGGGTTGAATCAAACGTGAAACTTCCTTCTGATATAAATCTCAATCAGAAGGAAATTTCTGAAATGCAGAATGGTTTGATGTAACGTACCAATCTTTCAGAAAAAAGAGTGTTCTTTCAAAATCCTTGCAGATGAATGAGAATGATAAATCTGACATGACTTTCAGAGTGGAAAGTTTTTCAGTTTCATAAAGCCTTCAAATTCTCCCTTCCTATCTAGCCCTAATTTCCCTACCTAGCTGGAAAGCCGATCACCCCTTAAGTATAAGTAAAAGCTCCTCACGCAGTGATGATAATCATATTTTTCTCAAACCTATGACCACAAATAGGAGTTTAATACGTTCCTAGGATCAACATCAACAGTTCACAACGGAAGATCCACCTTGTCAAACCTACATCCTTCACCAATTTGTCAAACTCAAATCTTTCGATGTGCAAATCACAGCTTGCACCCTAGTCTTTGTGCCACGATCAAAGTAAGAACACGAGAAGAGGACAATCAGATTTGCTTGCCGTTTGAGTTGGGTAGTCAACTTTTCGAGTTTTTTTTAGCACTCTTCATTTGCTCAGAAATTTTCAACGTTAGAAACTTGCTTGATAAGCCTTACGTGTTCCCTGAGACCTTCTGAAGCTCATGAGAGGATATATGTGAGCATTTTGAACAGCTTGCTGCACACTATCTCCTATAAAGAAAAATCCCTTGGAAGGCGTCCTTGGTTTGGCACAGCAATACTTTTTAATCGCTTTGAAGGCCTAACCTAATTTCTATATTTGTGCAAAAAATAGTACTTAAGCTTTTTGATCTGTACGATTTACAAAAGTATCCTTCATGCGCTAAAAAGTATGCTTTTAAATGTAGGTCGGAAAATTGAGAATCGTTTTTTGAAAGATAGTTTTTTCGCTTGGGGAATTCTGTAACCTGGGCAAGCTGCGAAATCTGACCTAAAGTTGTGATCTTGCTCGGAAACGGTAAAGGTCAGCGATAGTTGAATGGATGATAAGGTATACATAAACAAGACGCAGACAGCTGATCACAGAAGGTGTTCGTTCGTATTTCTCCATCATTCTCATCCATCATCAGCAACGGTATCTTTTCGTCAGTTAAATGATCAGTAGTTCCAGAACATGACCACCATCAATAACAATATCGCCACTGATTCTGGGCACAATACTATCGAGTCAGTGCTTTATGAGTCACATTTACAAAGATTTTGCACTTCCTCACTATTCAATCTCGTTTTTGCAGTCCTCGCTCCTATGACGATCTCTTGGCAGTCGCCGCTTTCATCAGGTCCCAGCTTGGTGACAGGGCTCATGCTGAAGTGGGCATCATTTGTGGATCCGGGCTGGGACCTATTGCCGAACTTGTTGAGAATCCCGCTATTTTACCCTATGAGAAAATACCTGGATTTCGCGCAGCCGAAGGTGAGTGTTGCCTGTTTTCACCGTCTGATTGATTACTAGCTCTGAACGAGCAGAATTTTCTATATTACGAAAAAGAGAGTAACGCTAAGTCTTTCCTAGTGCAGCCAAATTTGATTTTCAAACATGAATAGGATTCTCAGTCCATCAGTGCTTGAAGGTGTGATAAAGTGAATATGTCTATTATTTCCGCTGCATAGAGGGCGAGGGGTCTCTATGAGGGTTTTACCTATTTGCTTAACTCTATTACGTGGATCGAAGAAAAAAAAAGATATGGATATGACAATTCATGATGAGGAATACCGAAATAGCTATTGAAGTAATGCCCGGATAAATTTAAGATTTCTGGAGGATATCCTTAAAGTGTAACATTTCGAGATGACTTGGCGTTTGAAGGTTTTCTTTTTGTTGAAAAATGAAATTCAGTCAGGTTCATTACAGTTTCATTTTCTCGTTTGATACCAAATTGGCATTTGTTCATTTGAACCCCAATAATCTTTGTACTAATTATTTTGGTCGGGAATAGTAGGTAAGCATTGAAGAGATCTGCTATCATTTCTATTAATCTGATCAGAGAAATGCAACGTCATGGTTTTTAATGGTCATATCGCTTCAGAAAGGAGGATTCTTAGTTTCCAAT